GGGAATCACCAGGCTGGAAAATCCCTCCAAGAACGGTCCAGGCACCAACCCAGCCATGTCCCCAGTGCCTGTCCTGGTTTGGAAGGTCAGGTGTCTGCTCAGGAGGGCAGGAGCCTCCCCTGAAATGGAAAATGTAAACTCACTCCCTCTGAATTATTGTAATTTTGAAATTAAGGGGCTCTCGGGCAAAGATATGGGGGCGGGAATAGCAGTTCTTCATTAAGAAAAATAAAAATTAGAAACCAAAATTTAAAGTTAAAATTAAAAATTAAAATTTAAAATAAAAATGACAATTAAAATTAAAAATTAAAATTTAAAAAAAATAAAATAAAAATTAACAATTAAAATTAAAAATTCAGTAATACAAACCAACACTGACAGAGTGAGAACAAGAGCTGCCCCCTGTGTGTCAGGGTGGTGTCCCAGCCCCATCCACGGGGGCTCAGCCCTCCTGCAGTGCCAGCTGTGGCTCTGCTGCAGCAGGATCCTGCACCAGGGGGGAGTTTTCCTCTGAAATTCCAGTGGTGGTTTAGATGGGCCTGGTCTTTCTCTGGGAATGTAGCGGGCAAAGGCTGCTGTGCTGTCCCAAACCTCAGATTGTACCCAGGTAGGAATGCTTGGCTCCTCCCCTGGGCGGAGCATCTCCCCATGGGATGCTGGGATTGGATCAGCCCTGCAGGGACACTCACTGGCCATGAACAGAAGATAATTAATAATTAATAGCCCATTAACAGAAGAGATCTCCTGGAGGTTTGGCAGAGATAAAGAAACCTGCCCCATGAGCAGAGGATCACAGCCCCAGCTCTGACAGATGTGACAGAACCCACACCCCCAGCCCCATCCTGCATTCCCAGCCTCAGGCAGTGCCACATTCCCACAGGGGTGTCCCAGAGGGACGGTTGCTCATGGGGACACTGGGTTACCTCATTCCCTTGGGATCCATCCCCGGAACTCAGCGGCCTCCGAAGGAAAATCTCACTGCAGGCACCAAGGAGCTCTCCAAGGCTCAACCCTCCTTCCCATCTCAGCTCCTTTCGGCAAACCCCCATCTGCACTTTCAGCCTTTTTCCCCTTCTTTCAACCATTTCTTTACCCATGGAGGTTTTCTTGGGGAAAAAAACCCAAAAAACCCAAAGCAATTTAAACCCAGCCCATTGTTTTCACACACCCGAGCTGCAGCGAGCTCTCAGAACGTGGTTGTGATTTGCCACATCTGTTATTTTAACACGTTGTTCTCCTGCCAAGAGCTCCATAAAAGGTGTTCTGTGACCCCTGGTGCCACGGAATCCAGCGTGCTGCCACAGCTGGGAGCCCAATGGAGCATTCCAGCCCCAACCTCACCTGGGATTTTTGTTCCTGAGCATCTTCAGACACGGAGATCAAGCGTGGCGTGGATCCTCCTTTCACAGACAGGCCCAATGGACGAGTTCATGGAATCATGGAATTCTGGAATTGTCCTCTTCCATGGGCAGGGACTCCTTCCACCATCCCAGGCTGCTCCAAGCCCTGTCCAGCCTG